AAGTTTGTGCTTCCCAAAATAGTACGGCACCCTCATAATAAAGGACCCCCTAGACCCTGACCCCCAAAACCCCTAAACCCCTCAACCCTAAACCCTAAATCCCTAAACCCCGAAAGGGACACTAATTTAAAGAGCCATAAGAACCATAGAGGAGCCTCGGGTTTGACCCTATAAAAAGAAAACCCTTCAAAGGAACCCTCTTTAGGAATTACTAGTGCCTACATAGTAGAAGGTAGGGTTTCCATAATGGGAGTTGCTACTATGGTTTGGGCAAGTAGCCCCCCTATAAGTACTTAGGACCCTTTGGGCTTATAGGTAGAAGTTGCCATTTAAAGATACCCGTAATACCTTAAAAGAACCCTTAGAAAAAAAACCCTCTACAAAAAATCCCTGAACCCTACACCCTCTTATAGGAACCCTTGTAGGAATTACAACAGACCACCTTTTTTCGTGAACTATATATAGAAACCATAGTCAGTAGCCCCAAGAGGTAGGCTTTTTGGGCTACAGATAGTGTATAGGTAGAAGGAGCCTCATAGTCAGAGCTGGCGAATTACTCTAAACCCTCTGTCAAGGAACCCTTATAGGAACTATTTTATAGGCCCCTAAACCCTAAAGTTAGCGATTATTACTTTAGGCTCCAAAGAGCCTTGGAGTAAACCTGAAGGGGACCAAATGAACCTTAAAAGTAGGGGCCCTATATCCATATACTATGAATCCTTATGTGGTATATGAACCTTAAACCCTTTTAGGGTTCATTTCGTCCTTAAGGAAATACTGACTGCCGCCGGACTGCCCGAGGGTCGGCGCCGCAGGTGGCAAGGGAGCCTTGGGGGGGCGCCAGGGGCGAAGCGCCGACGACGAGGGCCTCTTCGGTGGGTTCGTAGAACTCCAAAACCCCTTAGTTAAGGAATATACCTTAAATTCGAATAGGATCCCTAACATGATTTAAGGTATGTTCCTTAACTGGGGGGTTCTGGAGTCTCTTAGGGTTTGGGACTTAGGGCTTGGGATTTAGGGCTTTGGGACTTCGGGTTTGGGGTTTAGGATTCGGACCTACGGTTTTGGGTGTAGGGTTTGGGGTTTAGGGTTTGGGGTTTAGGTTTGGGGTTTAGGTTTGGCTTAGGGCTTAGAAGATTTAGTTTGCGGTTAGGAGCTTGCGGTTTATAGGGCTTGAGGTTCAGGGCTTTTGGCTTGGGGTTTAGAGCTTAAGACTTGGGCTTTAAGTTCTAGGGGTCAGCTCGCTAAACCTCCACGTAATCTTCGCGGTCGTACTTGAGCCCATGCTGCACTTCGGGCACTTCCCTTGCATCCAGATTGGAATCATTAACTGTTTCAGGCTCCCCGAAAACCCAACACCCTAACCCATCAACCCTCAACGCGCCAAACCCTGAGCTCTGAATATCTTCTAATGCTGGGATGGACTATCAGGAATACTGTAAGGGAACTTCAAAGGGATCCATTTCCCAGTTCCTTACTAAGAACGAGGGAGATGGGCCAAGGAGAAACCACAAATCAACTTGCCTATACAAGGGCAGGGTTTAGGTTCTTTAGGGTTTAAGGTTTAGGGCTTTAGGGCTTAAGGTTTTAGGGTTTAGGAGTTTGGGGCTTAGGCTTTGGGGCGTAGGGCTCATGGGGCCGTATATGCAAGGTTCGGTCAGGGACCAAGTATCAATACAGAACATATCCCCAAATATCCATCAGTAAAACCCTAAACTCCTAAACCAAAACCATAAACCCTAAAAAGCCCTAAACCTACAACCTTAAACCCACCTAGGAGTTTCCGAAAATAGGGGACCCTGATATAGCACCAAAAAATCTAGTGGGATCCTTAATATAAGGACCCCACAATAAGGTACCCCCAATTTTCGGACACGCTAAACCCGTATAGAGCCTTTTAAAGGCACCCTTATAGCACCCTTGTAGTACCCTTATGGCAACCCTTTAAAGGAACCCAAAGCCCCCCCTTTGAAGGGACGATCCCTACTTGGAGGTTCATGGGTAGTTATTATAACTGAGGTTATAAGTAAAATAACTACATACTTATAACCCTTAGTAGGGGACGTATAAGCCCACTTAAAACTACCCCTGAACCTCCAAGCAGGCTCCCACCTCCTAAACCCTAAACCCTACCCAAAACGGTACCCTAATTTTGACAACCACCCACCTGGGAACCCCAGCACCCTACAGACCCTAAACCCCAAACCTAACCCCCAGCCCCAAAACCCTAACCCTATAACCTTAAACCCACCTAAGGAACCCTGCCTGGAGCTCCGACTGGCGCTGGATCCGCGCGAGGGCGGTGCTTGCACGACAGCGAGGGGCGGGCCTCCAAGACGTCGTTTCAGGGCTTAGGGCGTAAGGTTTAAAGTTTAGGGTTTTATTTTTTTTTGGTTTTAGGGTTTAGGGCTCAGGGTTTAGGGCTTTAGGGTTAGGGTGTAGGGGTGGAGTTTCGGCCCAAGGGTGCACTTCTCATAGATCTTTCGAGTCTCATACAATTCGAAACCCAGTAGACCCGAATCATCCCTAAACCCTCAACCTCTACCTCAAGGACGACATGAACCCTAAGCGGTTTTAAGGTTCATATACCATATACGGATTCATATAGTATATGGGTATAGGGCCGTTACTTTTAAGGGTCATGTGGTCCGTCAGGTATAGACCTTCCAAGCCTCCTTAAACCCTAAAGACCTTCCAAGCCTCCTTAAAACCCCACAACATGACCAAACGCTCCCTTTGCGCCGGTTGTCCCGCAGTGCGATGTCTTTACACAGCCTGCAAGATCTACTCAGGAACCCCAACAGTCCATGCACCCAGACAGTATGTAGCGTCCAGGGGTTGGGGTCTAGGCTTTACTGTATAGCAAATATCTGGCTGTCAAAATTAGGGTCCCGTTTTGGGTACCCTGAATATTAAGTGCCGTAGTATAATAAGGACCCAAAAGTGCTTCATGCAAACGACCGACTGATGTCCGTTATTAATAATTAATAACAATAATACTAAAAATGAACATAATAATAATCATGATAATAATAATAATGATAATAATAATGATAATAATACTAATAATAAGAATTAGGACCTTAAAAGTGACCCTAATGTTGAGAACCACCCATATGAGGGTTAGAACTTGGGGTTGATGGTTTCAGCTTTTCATAAGAGGTGCCTATGGGGTCCTACTACAGTAACCTTGAGACTGTCTTCTAAAGTCAAAAACAGCGGTTGTAATTTGGGCTTTAGGGTTTAGGCCTTGCATGAGGATTCCTCTTGCAGCAAATTTGGGACTCTAGGGGGAAAGTATGTGATTCATTACCTGAAGGACCAAAAGACCCTTAAAAGTAGGGGCCCTATACCCATATACTATGAATCCCTATATGGTATATGAACCTTAAACTTAAACCCTTTAAGGGTTCTAATTTCGTCCTTAAGGTAATGAAATTTCTAATATAGGGGCCTTAATAGAACCCTACTATAGATCCCTTATGGCACCCTTTAAGGAACCCTCTTTAAGGGTTCTAATTTCGTCCTTAAGGTCTACGGACACATGGACCCTCAGGGTAAAGTGGAGGTCTCCTGACTCGGGAGCGTTCCCAAAGGGCACCTAAATCTTCACCCTTTGAGACTCTTCCTCTCCCTGATGTGTGCAGAGAGCTCCCCATGCTGTTGAGTCAAATTTGAAGGCACGTCGCAAAATTTCGAGAGTTCGGATTCCTGACAGTTTACTGCGTTTGGAGTTAAGGCTTGGAGAGGGCTGCAATATAGGGGCCTCAATAATTAGAAGAGGGTTCTGGCGCCCATGAAACTATAAGTATAACAAGGAACCCCCAAAATAGTACTGGCAATTACTTAGGCCCCCATAGTACTGTTTAAACTAACGGCTGCGTAACATGAACCAAAGCTGAGTCTACGACCAAGAATACAGGGATGCTTGCAGTATGTCCACACGTGCTTCTGACCCACTTCGGTGTTTGTTTGTGTGTGTGTGTGTGTGGGGGGGATGGGGTCCAAAGCCGCTGGGAAATCTGTTGAGCGAAAGCAACAATGCGGTGCGGCTCTTGTAGAAACCATCCCAAACCCTGGATCTTGCAAACCTCGCAGGGCTTCGGGCTTCAGTCCCTACCTATAGTCTCCATTGTAGTCCCTTCTTGTTAACCAATTTTATGGTTAGGACCCTATACTAGAAATTTGGGTTAACCAAAAAAGGAACTTCAATGGAGACATGTGGAGACTATTTAGGTAGACTCAGACACTAAACTGTTCAAGCCCGTGGGCTGTGACAGAACTCACGGCCTCAGATTGTCCGGATGGAATGATGAAGTAAAGTCTTTCAAGGGTTCTAAGGAATCAGGAGCCCAAAACCTTACTGGATACGGTCTCCAAGCAAGCAATTTTGGGCCTTCGTCCCAAGGGTAAGGTTGCTTTTGCGTAGCTTCTCGAACTTCTGCGACTTTGCGAAGCGGAACAGAAGTAACGCATGCTACTGTTGAGACTGTTGCGCACTGCTTGAAGGTTCATAGGCACTGTTGAGTACCGGGACGGCAAAATGTGATACCTTCTGTCGGATACCTCATGGAAAACGGCGCCCATACCCCTAAACCCCAAAATCACTGTCCCGTAATATAGGGAAGGTTTTACTTAGAATAAGGTTTGGGGTTATGGTAGACTATACTTATCATGAGGAACCTCCACAATAGTATAGGACAACATTCAAGACCCCTATAGTATTCCAAATCCGACACCTTTGACTCCGAAACACTACCCTTCTAGAAGTCGGTGCCCATGAATTCCTTCAAGCAGAGAGTAACCCTGGCCCCCCTCAGGGCATTCTGTGTCCATCGACATTCGGGTCGCATGCGAAGCAAGGGGTTGTACTGCGACTCTTGGGCAAAAGAAGATTTGGGTATCTGTGGCTTATAGGCTTAAGCCAAGGAATGCCAAGGACAATAAACCCTGCTTCAGCGACTTCGTCTACACATCTAAACATCGGCTCTGGCGTCTTCTCAGTACCGGGTTCTGGGTAGCAACATCTCGAGAACTTTCAGTGCTGCTTTGTCGTTCTCCACGCTGAAGCCTTTTCGAACTCTCTCCTGGGCTGAGACAAATGTCTTCCAGGGTGTTAAACGGCTTACATACAGGTTGAAGATGGTTTTTATGAGTTCTACAATAGGGCCCTTAATACTATGTATAGGGTTTGGGGGCATTCTGCGCTCATTATAGTACCATGATTCAGAAACTACAGGGGTTTCAGAAGCTTCTATGGGGGGTTGAAGACTTCGGCTTGCGGTGGTAGCCACAGGCGGCGTGCTTCTGGATAGGGTAGACGGTCGAACCCCGAAGACAGAGAAAAACTTCAATTCCAACAGATGACTTCAACTGAGAACCGGTTAATCACGTATAAAGAGGAAACGGCTGATGCCCAACAACCGCAAAAACCAACAAATCTGTTGAACATTGAGCAATAACCTGCACATACATACCCCAAACCTTTACATCGCCAGTCCTACATCCTGTGACCCCGAACCCCATCAATCCTACACTTTAGGAGCTACCTATCTTAACCCAGCAGAACCTATTTGTTGCAGGGTCCCTGTAAATCCCATGTTAGGGTTTACAATAGGAGCCTACAAACATAGGGTTTAGTAGGTCTAGGTATACATCTCAACGGCCAGATACTTCACTCCCGTAAATGGCAAACAACCATGCATGTTTGAAGATCCCTTTGATGGCACTACCACAAGCCTTAAGCAAATCCTTATCGCGTTTCAAACTCCATATCAAACTCCATACCCCAACACCCGAAGCCTTAGACCCTAAAGCCTTACTGGAACCCCGAATAACCTCCCTTTTGCAGGACTTATACAAAGAAGTCATAGTATAGGAACCCTACAAACGTAGGTTCCTTAGGGTCCAGGGAAACCCCAACCATACCCAGCTCAGTTCGGACGAGGGCTCGTTTCCCACCGTGATTACGATGCCCAAGTTCCGACGGCCCCCAACGTTGCGACGCTGGCTATCCGAAGCCCACCAAACCTGGAGTTTCGGTTTTACTAAAACCCATAAAGGTTTAGGGTTTCAAGTTTTTATGGCTTAGGGCTAAGGTTTAGGTTTAGGGCTCAGGGTTTAAGGGTTCAGGACTTTTTAGGAGGGAACCATACAAGGGAATCCTGAACAGGCGGGTGTCTTAGCGTCCAGCCAGGTATAGGGTTACCTGTAGCCCTACAGGCCTGCCTTTGGAAGGACATATATCTTGAACGGAAGCTGAATGTGTGGTGCATGTGGGCTTTGGAGTTAACGATTTGTGGTTCGTGAACCTTAAGCCCCAAAACCCCAAAGCAGAAGAAACCCACCGAGTCAGAGCAAGCGCAGACATCAAAAGCCAAAGTCCTAGGGTGAGTCCAGAGTACTCAATACTTAGGATTCTATAGGGGCGCTATGCGGTTTTAAAATGATACAAAGCTTTATCCTTATCCGGGGCTTGTGAAAGGTTCTAGGATGCCTAGTAGGCCTAGTACTCGTGGCGGTCGTGTCAGGGTTGCTGGGGCTTTTTTGCGTTTTATGGAGGAGTGCCGAGAGGTTCGGGTTCAAAACTGCAGTTCAGGCATTCCCCAAAGGGTCCTATGTATGTACTGCTGTGGGGAATACTTCCCCAAGTCATAATAGTAATTCCTAATGTAGAAACCCTACATTCTACTGTATCGGTACTTTTTGGACCCTTTGGGTTCGGGTTTGTTGAAACCAAAAAATACAGGTTCGTAGTTGGGGGGAGCGCAGGATCCACGTTTCTGCCCTAAGGACGTAGCTATATCGAGGATACTGGTATAGACCCGACTAGAAATTCTTAAGATACAGAGTCGACTCTCTACCACGTGTCTTGGCCTCCTTGAACGGCCGCTTGGTAGGCTAGGTATTAAGGACTGGGTCGATCCGGCTAGCACTAGCTGAGGAATCCTACCTCCTCTTACGAAGGGCTTAGGGTTTTGCATTCGAGGGCCAAAATAAATAAAATGAGGGTTTAGATGGCACGTTATACACTGGCTATAATGTCATTTTCAAGCCGTAAGAAATTGGATTCTTAAACTTACTAAACATTGGAACCACTATTTTACTTCAAGCCTGTTGAAGATTCCGCGGAGTTCATCCAATCCTAGCCGGGTCGCGTTATTCGGCGCCATACCCCAGCCCTTCCAGTCAAGCCATGTAAGCCTTCGCTGGTTGAGGGTTTAGGGTTTACGTGCAGCCGATGCCTCTTCTTTCTTGTGGAATGGGTTTAAAGTCTGTTGTGTTCCGTTGATTCGGTTGACCCCAAATCTTTCACCTAAGCCACCGCCCGAACAAAAAGTCAATACTGAAGATAAGGAATGTGCTCGAGATCCTTGTCCGTGGCGAAGCTGACTCCTCACAGGGCTTACACGATCTTCGTTACAGACCACCCCTCCAGCAATGATGGGAGGCCAAAACGGGGGTTTAAGATTCTTGGGGTAGGGGTTCCTTAATATGAACCCAATTATGGGAACCCTAATCCCTACTAAACCCCCATAGGCTAAAACCCCTTTTGGCCTCCTATGAGGCAAGTACCGTAACCGATCTGCACAAATCGCATTAATCATAAGCCTCACCCCCCCACCCTAAACACAAATCGCATTAATCATAAGCCTCACCCCCCCACCCTAAACACGCAACACACAAAGAAAGGCCCCAACTCCGCAGTACCCACCAACTACCCGACCTACAAAGTAGAATACGGCTATGTGGTCTATGTTGAAAAAATCTGATAGGGGCTGCAAGGGCATACCACGCGTATAGTTTGTTATTCGGAACCGCCACCAACAAGAAACCCTGTAGGACTATACTGTACGGGTGCCTTAATAATCTGGATAAGGTTTTCTGGCCCATCATACTAGAGTTATGATAAGCAACCCCATAGGGTATAGGCATCTACAAAGGCCCCTACATTTGAACCTCTGCTGCTTCTTTCCATCAGCTCCTCCATTATCCGACGGGATGTCGACCCGCTTCTCCTCGGTTCCCCAGTAGCCGCTGAATGACAGTTTAGGGCTTAGGGTTTCGGGTCTATGGGTTTAGGGCTTCTAGGGTTTCGGGTCTATGGAGTTTAGGGCTTGGGGTTTAGGGTCTAAGGGGGTCAGGATTTAAGGTCTATAGGTCTGTAGGGTTTACGGTTTGCTGCCAAAAGGGTATAAGGTCGGTCCTTAGGGAGTTTTAGTAAAGGATACCCCAAAATGAATAGCAAAAGTGTGCCTCTGAGAAACCGAAGCCGAGTTTCTTTTTCAAGGGGTTTAGGGTGCAGGGTTTCCTACTACTCGGTTTGAGGGTTTAGGTTCTAGAGCGCCTATAGCGTTTAGGGTGTAGGCCTTCCTGCTATCTGGTTTTAGGGTTTAAGTTCTGCAACTCGGTTTTAGAGTTTACGTTCTATAGGTTTTCTTTTTGTTAAAGCTCCTTTTCTCTGTCTGCCGGCAGTCGACATTCACTCAGGCCGTACACGACCGGGAGACCGGGGGTTTAGGGTGTAGGGGTTCCTACTACAGTAGAAGCCAGAAAGTTGGAATATCATTATCCTAACCCCTTTAAGGTAAATTATAGGGGATCCTACCATTAATCCATATTCCAACTTTCTGGAGTTCCCTGTATTCGGTTTCAAAACGCAGAAAAAAAGGGCACTTCTGGGAGACCGAGTCTCCCTTCCCAAGGGGAAGTAGTAGGACTTGATGCAGAGGTGATCCGAAAAGATCTCGACGAACTTGTCCTGGACTTCTTGGAGGTTCATGGGACTTAGCAAGTACAGTTTTGAGAACCTTAACTGGGGTTATAAGTAGTTATATATAAATACAGTTTCCGTCTTCATAACCCTAGTTACTAAGTCTCATGAACCTCCAAGTTGGCTGCTGGCATTGGTCCCCTTTGGGTAATAGAGGGCCTTAAGAATTAGAATAGGGGTTCCTTTTTAAAGGGGTCCTGAAAGGGCTCGATAAGGGATCTATAGTAGGATTCATGGGTTCTAATATAGGGGCCTTGACAATTAGAATAGGGTTTTTTGGGGCCCATTATACTATAAGTATAAGAAGGAACCCCCACAATAGTATAGGTAATTATACAATGCCCGATAGTACTGCCTCCAGATTCAAGCAGTATAGAATAGGGCTAGTAGTAAGGGCCGTATATATCTTTATTAGAGCATCATTCAGCTGCTGCTGGGTGGTGGGGGCAGTATCGTCACCTTCGTTTATCAAAGCACTTTTCGTAAGAGTTTCCGAAAATAGGGGACCCTAATATAGTACCCTGAACAATAGGATCCCTATTATGAGGACCCCAGATAAGGTACCCCTAATTTTCGGAAACTCCCACAATCTAGTGTTGCGTGTGTCTGATGTTCTGTTGCGGGGGGCGGGGCAGGTAGGGTTTCAAAGGGCTACTAAGGGTGTCCAGGGTTTGTATTGTGGATTTTTAAGGCGTCCCTAAACCTCAGACCCCAAAAAGAGCCCCCAAAGCAAGCCCAGACGTGTCTAAGCTGGCCCACCTGCCCAGTAACCACCCCATCCTCTGCAAGTGGAGCGAAAACCAGATACACCAAAACCCCTCAACCAATAAACCTGAACCCCTGAACCCTCAGCCATTGAAGGCACTTCCTTCATTGCGGGTTCTGGATTGTAGACCTAGGGGAGGTCGGCTCGTTTAGGGTGGCGGGTTTAGGGTTGAAAGTTTAGGTTCCAGGGTTCAGCGGTTTAGTTTGGATGCATACTGAACTTCGCTTGCTGACCCAGCTCTGAAAAATACAAAAGACGCCCAAGCCAGATCTTTCGGCGGACCGGTTCATGGGGAAAAGCAGTTGCATCATGCAGCTAAAAGAGGGGACAGGAACCCCTTAAACTTCCTTGTCACCCATGCTTCTAAAGCCCCTTATAGTTAAGTACTGAGGACTTAGGACTCCTAAGGGCCCCTTTAAGGGTTGGGTTCCTTCAAGGATTCCTTTAACCTGAAGGACCAAATAGCCCTTAAAAGTACACTAAAAGTCGGGGCCCTGTACCCATATTCTATGAATCCCATATGGTATACGAACCTTAAAAATCCGTTTAGGGTTCTAATTTCGTCCTTAAGGTAATGAAAACTCTAATATAGGGGCCTTAATAGAACCCTACTATAGATCCCTTATGGCACCCTTTAAGGAACCCTATTTAGGGTTCATTTCGTCCTTAAGGATTCCTTTTAAGGGGTCCTTGTAGAGAGGCGCCCGGGTCGTCGGATTTAAGTTCTCAGCCATGGCTGCTGGGTGCTTTCCGGGGCGTTGTCGATCAGCCTTGAGCCTTCCCCCTGAAGAAATATTACCTTACGGTTTAGGGTTTAGGGTTTAAGGTTTAGGGTTTAGGGGTTTAGGGTTTAGGGTTTAGGGGTTTAGGGTTTAGGGTTTAGGGAACTGGGTTGTAGTTTTGGGGCTCTCAAAAGTATTCATGAATAGGTACCTCTATAGGAACCATACTGAAGAAGGGACTCCGCTAAAGGCCCAATCTGTGGATCCCGAAGATCCTGAAGTGGGATTCTCCGATGAACCTGGAATTAATATAGGGGCCTTAGTATACTAAATATAACCCAAGAAATTCAAAGGGGAAAAGGAGTGACCCTTAATGGGGACCCCTACTCTAGAATGGGCTAAATAATGGGTATATAATGGCTGTATTAACCAAAGTGTCCAAGTATCATCTGGGTTGTAGTTTTGGGGCTCTGAAAAGTATTCATGAATAGGTACCTCTATAGGAACCATAAGGGCAATTAAAAAATTTCCCAAATTGCCACCTAGTGAAGAAACATTACCCAAAGTGTCCAAGTATCATTCTGGTATATACTTAGAGGGCATTTTGGGGGTCTAAGTCTAAGTATATACCATGATGATACTTGGACCCTTTGGGTTACTTTAACCCTGAATAACCCATTTTTGGTGGGTTCCGTACTATGAGTTCCCTAAATGATAAGTCCTTACAAAAGGGAATGGGGTTTAAGGTTTAAAAGATTCAAAGTGAGCCTCTTCGCCGAAGAGAAAATGAATTAAGAGCGCTTAATGACGGAAACAGGTCGAGTCTAAGTTATGAAAGGATCCATACGGGTTCGGTAGTGAGGGTTTCGATTCTATCAGGGTAGGGTAATTCAGGTGTTTAAAATCTTGTTTGAGAGGGGGGTTGAAAGGGTTAAGGGGTCCCCAGGATCCTACAGTTGGGTACCGGGGTTTAGGAGAATCCCTTTGCGTATGTGGGAGTCTACAGCCGTTTGAGTTTGGTACCTTGACCCTTTGGGAAAACTAGGGTACCATAAGGATTCTAATTTGTTGCAAGGGTGGCTTATGGGTTCTATACGCGTCTGATGAGGGGTCTACACGGGCTTTACAAAGCTTTCGAACAAGTTCTTATGCGGGTTAGCATGGGCTTTACAGAGGCTAGGTTATTGAATCTCCTTAATCCCAGAACGCGAAACAAAGGGTTCAGGCGTTTAGGCTTTTGTGTAGTTTACCATTTAGGGTGTCAGCGTGTTACGGTTTAAGGTGCAAGTGATTTTTACGGTCCAAGGCTTCGGGGGTGGGGGGTTTGGAACACTTGGGGGTTTGATACAGGTACCCAAAGATAACCAAAGACTCCAACGGCCCGTGACTCAGGAATATACTTATAGAGGTATTCTTGATATATGGCTGGAGGTATACTCGATAGTTCACGGAGGCACCCGGCTGTGGTTTCGAGCTTCGTCATTTGGGGTGATGTGCTTTTGGTTTGCATTGGGTATTTGTGGCTCTCTCTTCTTCAATAACCGCCCCCCTAGACCCTAAACGTGATTGTACCTTAGGTACCTTCGACTTTTGCTGAGTGGGGGCCGTACCCAAATTGTACCCCCTGAACCCCTGAACTTCTGAGGATGCAGGCCTGCATCGGGCAACTCCTCCAAGGATTCTCTTTCCGGCGCTGCGGAAGCGATAGGAAGAGACCTTTGGCGCTTTCAGAATTCAATAAGGCTTAGGGCTCTTGGTGTTGCAGGCGGAATGCTAAGGGATCTATGGGGTCTATAGAAAACCCTAAACCCCGAAAAGGAGCCTTATTCTAATCATCAAGGCCCCTAAAATAAAACTCGACTACAGATCCCTTATAGACCCCTGTAAAGGACCCCTTAAAGGAGCCCCTCAAGAACTATAGATCCACTACAGGGCCTTTTAAAGAAGCCCTTAAAGGAGCCACTCGAGATCCTTGAAGATACCCTCAACCCTAAGGGTCCATGTACCCAACTAGTATATACTTTGGCCATAAAGTACTCCCTATATAGGTACATTAGGGCCAAAGTATATACTATTTGGGTACATGGCTGCTTGGGGTAAGAGATCCTCGAAGCTGGGAATCTGGCTGTACCTCTCCCCGTCGTTGCGGTAGACCAGGGGAGAGACTTACCTGAGCCGTGACTTCGCTGTTGTAAGGATTCGGCTATAAGGGGTACTTTAGGCTTCGTTCGGGCTGAGGCTTACCATAAGGGTTCGGTGTTTTCGGTAAGTCATAATGCTTAGTTAGCAAAGGTTGGCAGTGATAAAGACTCTACTCGAAATCCCCGAACGCGGAGACGTTCCTTGAAAGGGGTCGAAAGAGGGATACTATAGAGGCTAAAGACAAGTGCATTAATATTCGAATAGGGTTGTGGGCTGCTTTATAGTACATATATGTACAATGAGAAATCCTGAAGAACTATATAGGTATTTCTTGAAGCTTCTATATTAAGGGTGAGCTTTGTAACGTGCAAAGGTTGTGGAGTGCTGTTGTGCGATAGCTGTGACGCCCAAGACGAAGCTAGCACGATGAGACCCCGAATGGTTAGAATAGGGTTCCTTTTAAAGGGGCCCCTCAAAGGGGTCTACATGAGATCTATGGCTCGAGAGGTAGAAGACAACATGGCTTTGTGCTTGAATTTTGTGACGTCTCGTTCTCATGATGGAAAGGGACAGCGGTCAGTGGAGCAAACCCCTCCTCGTGTTCTTTCACAGGTACTACAAACATCAAGTAGCAAACAGATTTTCCAGCAAGAATGGCCGCTTCAGCCTCATATTATCTGAGGTCTGAAGTCCTATCGGCGAGTCAATCGACGGCGTCGGGGAATGACTCTAAGTTTACATAAGCCTCATCAGGCTTCCGTTGTTACAGGTTTCAGGCCTCTTGAGGTTTCTAGGGAGTTGAAGGCATATAGAACCCTAAACCCTAAATCCTAAACCCTAACCCCTAAACCCCCTAAACCCTGAAAGGGCTTTCCGCCATCCCCTCCAGTTGCCTTGTAAGAAGTACGGACTCCCGATCTTCTATAATGCCTCAGATTCAATCTTTCCCAAGCTTGGCACCTTAATCACCTATAGTCTCCATTGTAGTTTTTTTGGTTAACCAGTTTTATGCTTAGGACTCTATAGGAAGCTCCTAAACCCTAAGTTCAGGGTATAGGGCTTACCTTAACCCTGAATAACCTACCTTTCCAGGGTTCCTTTAGTATGATTTCCTTAAATAAGTCATTAAAAGGTAGGCTCTTCAGGGTTTAGGGCTTCGGGTTACTACCTGGACAAACCCCAAAAGTCACTCACGCAAGCGCAGGCAAAGACCAAATCATGAACCCTAAATCCTTAGCCCTAAACCCTAGGTTCCTGAATGACCCCTTTATACTAAGGGTATTCTTGCTCCTGTCATTCAGCTTTAGTACGGGAGCCATACAATAATTAGAGAGGGCAACTGCGACCTCAGGAACCTAGAACCCTTGGCTCAAGGTCCCAGCGATCACCATGACAGCCGAGACACAAGGCCTCAACCAAAAAATTACAAACCAGAAAAGATCTTTTGCTCCCCTTACACATCCATTGTTTCATTATCTGTCAGTTCGCTGCGATGACCCAAGCACCTATACCTCTCGTATAGGGCATCACAGAAAAAGCATCAGGGAAAACCTCAGAAGCCCTAAGAAAAGCCTAAGAAGCCCTGACACCCTAAACCGTTAACCTAAAGCATGAACCCTAAAACCTACTAAACCCAAAAATAAGCGAAACCCTAAACTCGAAAACCTAAACCCTAAACTTCCCTAAACCTTGTTACAGCTTGGATTAGGAAAACATCCCTACACCCTAACTAAACCCTGAACCCGAAACCCTAAACCTCTGAGGCCCCAGCGATCACCTCGAAAGCGTCTCTCGCCTTCTCAGCTTCCCAGAGAGCCCAACGCGGTTTAGGGCGTACCTAGTCCCTGAAGAACCTACACTGTTTAGGGTTCCCTACTATGGTTTCCTTATATATGTTCTTAAAAACCCTAAACCCTAAATCTAAAAGGTAGGCTATTCCGGGTTAAGGTAGGGAGTAGGGTTTAGGGGCGACTCTTTCAAGGACTTACAGATCGCTTGCTGATAGCATTTCTCACAGAGCCTCTACCTATACAGGTTTAGGGTTTAGGGGTTGAGGGTTTAGGGTTCGATAAGGCTTTATAGGGGTGATGATTTTGCGTGTTTGAGATACTTGTTGCTCAGACCCCTATATGGGGGGTTCCGAAAATGGGGGACCCAAATATAGTACCCTAAAGCAGTAAGATCCTTATTATAAGGAGCCCAAACAAGGTACCCCTAATTGTTGGAAACTCCCCTATCTTTTTGCAAGACAGCTGGCTCTGAAAATCTGAAGGCGCCGTGACGGGCCCTTGAAGACCTATAGACCCGAACGCTAAACTCAACACCTCTAGAGCCTCACACAGCCGGAATACTTCTCAGTAAAAATGATGCTTTTTGCTGCTTCAAACCCGTAACTAAACCCTATACCCTAGCGCCTACTGTTTTTTTGTTGCTTCAAACCCGTAACTAAACCCTATACCCTAGAGCCTACTGTAAGCTCGCAATCCCGGACGCCTTGTTGAGGTCAGCCATGAAATCCTCGACGGAATCCGGGTAAAGACCGGACCTCAACTTCGCTTTAGGGTTTGGGGTGTTAGGGTCTGGGGTTTAGGGTTGAAGGTATAAACTAGGCCTGTAAGGTTTGGGGTATGTTTAAGCGTAAGGAGTCCTAGAAAGGAACCCTAAGCCCCAAACACCGGGCTTGTATTGGCTCCATATTGGGAGGCCTCGCTGACAGATTTAAGACTTTTGGTCCAAGGCTTACCTTAACCCTGAATAACCTACCATTTTAGGGTTTCTGATTATGATTTCCTTATATAAGTCCTCGAAAAAGTAGGGTATTCCGGGTTAAGGTAAGGGTTCAGTCACCCGGAAGATCGGCACAGTATGGG